GCAAAGCAGCAAGGAGCCTGGGGGGGGAGGTGGGACCAAGCACCCCGTTCTCTGCATCGCCCTGGTCCTGGCCAAGGTTAGGAGTGAACGGGTAGGTAGGTTAGGGAGGTTCCCTGAGACGGTGACTTTTGAGTAGAGATCTGAAAGATAAGGAGAAAGCCGAGAGGAGTTTCTGGAAAAATGCCCAATGAAAGATAAAAACTGAGGGGATTATTCCGATAAGTCAGAGGAAAATGCCTTATTTGCCTTTTAAAGGGGTGGCCATGGTTGTTCTTGTCTTCAGCCCGTCATCAGGAGGGAGAGAGGGGAAGATGCTTCATGGGTGCAGGGCGACATCTAATTTAAACCCTCATCTGGGCAGTGAGGGTGGTTTGATTTATTATTTCCTGTGACACAGACGTGGAAACAATCGTGAAGACTGTATTGACCTTCAAGACCATATCGTGAGCAAGATGCATGACTACAGAGATAAATGATGACAAAGCAGATGACCTCTGGGAGCCTCAGCCGGACCAAATGCACCAACTACCAAGGGAAAACTTTTCTGGGGTCTGCTGATTCTGAGAAATAAGCTGGGTTGCCTGCAAACAGGGCTCCCACTGCAGAAGTTCATCTGCCTGGCAGGGAGGGTGAGATTCCCCCACCTCAGCCAGGTGTAGCTCTCCCGCTGTCCCTGGGGCTGCGGTGACCCGTGTGCAGGGTTGGGCCCTGCCCCGCAGAGCCCTGGGGCAGCTGTCGGGGCGGGGGGTTCCAGATGCTGGCATGAAATGACCTAGTATGGTTTCTGCCTTGTTCTTGCTTCTGCTTCCCGTCTGGGGGTCACCCCAGGCTTCCCATGACTGGCTTCCGAGCCCGTCTTAGATGTGGTGTCTTTCTGGCCCAGGAAGTCTCACGTGCTAAGGTGCCCTCTCTGCTCCTCCATCCTGCCTCCTTCCCGGCGAGCCGCTACGCTCCCAGGTTCCAGTTGCCAGCCTTTCTCCGTGGCTGAGCCTCCAGCACCTTCTGCAGCCACAGAAACATGCCCAGCCCTCTGCCCAACCAGCGAAGACCCTGCTCAATCCGCCAGCTTGCTCCTCTCTCCTCATTCAAGGGAACGCCTCCCACGTTCCTAGGTGAGGTTGCTTGTTGTCGCCCGAGGATGGTCGTCTTCCTGCTTCTGAATCTTGACCCTTGAGATTCTCCCCCAGGAGGTGACCTCCTTTATGTCCTTCTCAAAGTTCACCTCTTTCAGAAAGATGGCAGGGGAGAGAGAGGCTGGGAGGGCGACTGATCAAGGTGATGCTTATCCGAAGCCAGCGCGAACATACAGCAGACGGCTTGTCAGCCACGCCCGGCCGTTTTCCAGCAGGGAGGGCTCCTTGAACTGGAAGGTTTTTGGGTTTTTTTTTTAATGTATCGTTATTGTTGAAAGTATTACAGCTGCCCTCCCTTTTCTCCCCCAGAGACCCCTCCCACCCCACTCAGACACCCAGAAAAGTATCATGGGCAACCGATCGCTGGGAAGAAGCCACTACCTTATCATTCCAGGTAGACGTGGTAGAAAAAGAGGAAGTGATGGGAGGGAGAGGGAGACGCAGGTGAGGGATCCCATTCGAACTGCTTCTAATTCTTCTGGGCCCTGAAACGGAAGCTCGCAGGCGGGCTCTTCTTGGTTATATCTGATCCAGGATGTGACTTGAGGAGGAAAGTCCCCCACGACGATTTCTATCTGGGACCATTTGGACTTGTCATGAAAAATAGAATTAAAAAAATTCTTGCTCTCCTGAGACCATTAGAACCTGTAAACATTTGCTCATCACATCATAACGTTGAAACCTGTGCTCACAAGACCGCACAGATGACACTGGCGTCCACCCTGCCTTCCCACCTGCCCCTGAGTTTCAGAAGAAGCAGGTCCAACAGGCCTCAGAGCCACTGGAGCCGAGCTGGAAAACACACCCTGTGCCGGGAGGCGTGTGAGCTTTTGGAGTCCGATTTTTTTTAAACTGTTGAAGCCCAAGTGGCATCCGCAGATCTAAACCGGGGAGAAATGCCAGGCTGTTCACTTCCACACAGGTGGCCCAGCTGCACAGAACACACACAAGGGACACCTGCCAGGACTGGGTTGTGACGAGCTCCTCCACCCGAAGCCAGCTGAACGCACGCCCGGCGCGCACACACGCGCAGAGCTGTGTGTGTGTAGAAGAGAGAACGCTTTGTGGTTAGAAGTAGTCATTACTTCTTTGGACATCCTTTGGAATAAGCATCTATTGCAACCCTTTGCTATTACGAGGCTTTGGGGAAGCAGAGCTAGGGAGGCGCTGGTACAATAAGGTCACTTGAAATATTAACGTAAGCCAGCATCCCCGCATCCAGAACTAGATCTGGCCAGAACACGACACCCGCTGGCAAGAAGTCGCTGTGTCGCTGCCATTCTCATTAGTGACAGGGCTGCTGTTGAACATGAAGCCTCTTCTTAATGAGGCGTTCGTTTATTTTTGTCATCTGCTCACCGCAGAGCTCCCCTGTTGAGCCCTGTAGGAAATGGGGACCCATATGTATACGACCACCCTGCAGGCATCAGGTACGAAATCCCCAGATGGACCCCCAGGCATCCTCATGGGAGCCTGGGTCGAGCGTTTGTTGTGTTGATAGATTCCTGATGCTGCGTACTTACCAGGCCACTGGGAAAACCAACCCAAAGTGGACATGAGCTCAAACAACGGCAATGAATGTGGGCATTCCTGAGAGCCCAGGTACCACCTTTGGGGTAAGGAGCTCCACTCATCGTTAACTGACTGCGGGGAAGAGAGCAATTCATCTCAGAACAGAAGGTCGGGGGTTGGGTGGCCAGACAGATGGCCACAAAGGCCCACAAAGGCCGTCCTGGGAGCCATGGCTGCGCCAAATCCCGCGCGGGTGCCCTTTCTGTCCCTGGTCCTCCACATGCTTTTAAACAGACGAATCAGAAATAGTGTTTGTTTAAACGGCAAACAATAAGAGCACTTAGAAAAAAGTCTAAGCATGTGTGAAAGGAGGAAGGGACAGCTCCCTCTGAGAGAGGCACCCCATGAGCTGACCGCCACAGCCAAGACCAGAGCAGGAAGTCCCTGCCCTTCAGCCGCCTCTCCAACACAAAGCTCACAGCCAGTCGGAGGGGAAGACGGCCACAGGGTGACTTTGACTCTTCATTCTGTACCTTTCTATAATTTTTTAATTGTTTACTTGTGTTGTCATTATTTTTACAATTATAAATTCTTATTAAAGAAAATACCCTTGTCTGTTGAGAGGGCTCTGATCACACACACACACACTCTCACACGAGTAAAATGTATATTATATATATGTGTGTGTGTATATGTAGGGTGGGGCAAAAGTAGGTTTACAGTTGTGAGTACACGAAAGTTTATTCTTGTATTATTTTTTATTAATTGTATCGTTTTCCACATAAACAACAACAGATATACTAATTCTAATCAAAGTGCCCTGCACCTTTGGCTAGTGTGGAACGTTCTAGAATCCCACCGCTACGATCGCCTGTGGGATCTCGTGGGGAGAGCAGGCTACAGGCCCTGGAGAGAGGAGCGTTCTGCCGTCTGCAGCCGGGGAACCACTTCCGAAGAAAGGCGGGAGGGGGCGGCTTTTCTGAAAATGTGAAATGTGACTCGAGTGTTTCCTCCTTCCGATCCCTGTTCTAAACAAGAGCCCGTCCGAGTTCCCCGTTAGGAAGCCACAGCCGCGGAGGACGCGTGGTCTGCAGGAGCCAGGAGCCTCTGCGGAGCCCGGGCCAAGCGCGGGGCTGAGGCCTGTGGGGAGCCCCGCGGGCGGTCCCCAGGTCAGAACGGGGAACTAGCTGGGTGCTCCTTCCACAGACGCTGTTGGAACCTAGGTCTGGCCACCCCCCCACGTTTCAGGCCCCTACCCGTGGTCTGACGCCCCCCTAAGTGTGGTCTGTGGCCAGCGTGGAGCGTGATCGAAATGCAACCCCTCAGGCCTCAGCAGACCCAGCAGGCCAGAACCCGCACTGTCCAGGGTCCCGGGCGATTTGTGGGTACCTTCCGCTTCAGAAGCATCTGGCACAGGGCCCAGAGGAGGCCTAACCATGTTTCCAGATACAATCAGGGCATGGTTGAAATCAGCCTACCAACAGCCAACCCTCTGGGCGGGCTACATACCCTGGGATTCCAACTGTGGCATTCTGGAAAAAGCAAAACGATGGAGACAGTAAAAGCCCAGTGGTTGCCAGGGTGTCAGGGGGAGGGTGACTGGGAGGAGCCTCGGGAATGATTTTTCGGCAGTGAAACCATTCTGTATGATACCATTCTAGCAGATACAAGTCATTACCTGAGAGTCAAAACCCAGAGAGTGTGCAGCACAGCGACCCCTGATGTAAAGCATGGACTCCGGTTCATCCAAAAACACAGACGCCAGTGCCATGTGTTCCAGAAAACTTACTAGCAAAGCACTAAATTCCTACCCCCGGGGACGTGAGACGGGCACTAACCCCAAGGAGCAAGTTTCTGTGCCTACATAGCATCTCACACTTTCCGTGGGAACATGACTTTAATGAAACAGAGCATTGTGCTGCATGTGTGAATAATGATGAGAAACATTTCAAAAAGCCTCCTCTGGCCACAACAGCCTATTGGACACGAGTGACGACTTGGCCTAATAAAGGAACTCACATTTTCTGTTTCTATAGCAGCTGGAAGTGTCTAGAAATCTCGAGGTTAGGAATGGGAGTGGGGAGGACTTGGGCTCTGGACGGACCCCGCTCAGCACCGAGTCCTGGACAGTACAACCACGGGCGAGTACACGCGTCGACACAGAACTCGAGGTCGGCAAAAAGGCCACGGTGTGCACAGAGATGAACTGTCCTGGGGCCGACCATTGATTCGGTCTCTCCGTCAGTCTGGTCACAAACCCAGCTCCAGAATCATTCCGCGAAGACAGCAGGTGACGGCTTCCCAAGCAGTGGGGAGCAGAGGTGGTCAGGGCCCTGCAGGCTCCCTGCTCTCTCCCGGGGGCTTTCCGAGGCCCACCCACGCGGGTGCTGCCAGGCGGTGGCCTTGGTCCTGGGCCGGGCTAGGTTTTCTTCTGGGCGGGGGTCCCGCACCCCGTCTTCTTCGCGGTGGCGGAGTTCGGCTGGCTTTTGCTTTTCGCGGCACGGGGCCTCTTCTGCTTCTGGTTGCTCTGGAGTGGTTCCAGCCCCAGCATTTTGCAATACTTGTTACACTGGTGTAGCGCTTTAAACTGATCGATGAAGGTCATGGAACAATTGCCTTTGAATCCTTTGTACCTGTGAGTTTGGGTGGAAGGAAACATAATTTTTGAAAACAGAGCACTTCACCAGTTGGGGAAGAATCTTTGAAAGCAGAAATGCATGGTGCGTGGAAATTTATTTACTACTACTTTAGGCAAAAATGGCCAAATGGTTGGCACAGCTATTGATAGGAAAAGACAAATCCTGTGGGCCCTGGCCGGTTTGGCTCAGCAGTTAGAGCACCGGCCTGCACACTAAGTCTCTTGGGTTTGATTCCTGGTCAAGGGCATGTACCTGGGTTGCCCCAGTTGGGATCGTGCAGGAGGCAACCAGTGGATGTGTCTCTCTCACATCGATGTTGCTCTCTCTCCCTCCTCCTCCCTCCCCCTCCCTTCCACGCTATCTAAAAACCAGTGGAAAAATATCCTCAGGTACGGATTAACAACAGCAAAATAATAATAACAACAATCCTGTAGAATTAAGAAAAGGCAGAGCCTGTGGTGACTGCAAGGTGTCTGGGTGCTGACAGTGGTTGCTGCCCTCACTCTTACAGTCACAGTGACGAGTGCTGGGCCACCCTGATCAACAGTGGAGGACGTCTCGGTGATCTGAAAGCCACTCCAACCCACCCAGAGGTTCTGAAGAAAAAAAGTCTAGAACTTTGGGGCCGGACAAAATTATTTAGTTTAGACTCCTCAATTTACCGGAGGGCGAATTTAGGTGGGGAGTTTGTGGGCCGGCCTAAGAAAACAAAGCAAGTTGATGGGAGAGACATTAGGATGCAGCCCCCTGAGTGTTCCTCCTCCAGGAGCGCTCTCCTGTGACACCCACCTTCTCCCCAGCTGGAGTGGAATCTCTGGCAGGCTCTGGGAGGGACCATGTGAAACTTCTGCCTGGGGGTAGTCTCAGGGACTGTTTGTTTTGGTTGGGACATTTAATACTCAAACTGTCATGACTGCGTTTTCACATCCCAATCGTGGTAGGTTAGTGTCCTCCTTGAATGGACAAGCCCCCAAGTCTCCCACCTGCCCACAGATGAGCAAGATGCATCGGGAAAGCTGGTCGAAGGGTTGCTAGGAGGATGAAATGAGGAAATCCATGCCCACCACCTAGATCAGCGCATGACATGTGGTGTGTGACATTAGATCAATGTTGGCCATCTTTGTATTATAATGATCAATATTACGGCTGGCAGGACTGATGAGGGCTTCCTGGGGGAGGGATGTGGAAGCTGAGATGGAGGGATGAGGGATCTGCCAGGTAAAGGGGAGGGTGGGGCTGAGCACAGCATCGAGGACCATTGACCTGGTTTGCAAGGCTCAGTACAAAATGAAAACCCGGGCTCCTGGTTCAAAAGGTACTAAGACTTTCGAGATGACAGCAGCAGAACATGCATTAAACGAAGTCCTTCTGAGTGTGGGGTCCTCTGTGGCCACACGGGAGGTACACCCATGGAACTGGCCCCAGTGCTGGAGGGAGTGCTGGCCATGTGTGACGCGTAGGGCTGAACACAAATGGGCAGAAAGGAAGTCTGAGATGCTGAATCTGAAGCTAATGTGATTCAAGACACTGGCCTCCTTCATTCGCTGGTAGGAACATAAAGGTCAACACGCCTGGAATGAATGGGCTGGATCCCGTGCTCTCCCCTGTGAAATCCAAGCTGGGTTTTACGCCGTTAAGGGCATTAAAGGTTTTTTTTCATCTCTGGAGCCAAAGCATCATTGAGCAGCTCCATCCTGACACGTGTTACAAATTCAGGCTGGCGCCTCCTCCTCTCCCTGCTGCAAGGGACCAGCTCTACCCCTAGGAGTCCATGGTCCACTTTTTTGTAAAAAAATGACTCCATATTTAAAAGCCAAGCTCCCTTGTTGCAGAAAAAGTCAGCCCAAGATAGGACTTGAATCTAACAGGGTGGAAGATTTCTGCTGCCAAGTGCCCCCTTTCCGTCTCCATGTCCTGCTCTGCACAGTGTAGGAGGCCCTTTCTCGGCCCTGGTGCCCTTCAAGCCTCGGCTCAAGTGCGTTTGTGTGGAGCCCTCCTGACCCTCTCCCTGTGCCCACTTCCTTTCTTCCCTGCACAGACTGTGGTCTCTCCAGGGCACGCCTGCAGGTCCCAAATACCCGCCAGGAAAGGCTCTTCAATAAAGGTCAAGGGAGCAAATGAACGGGTACCAGCCCCACCCTCAGAGCTGCCTCCCCTGCCCAGGGGGTCTCCAGACCACACTGCAGAACTTCTCTGTCCCGATTTAATTTTGAACTCTCAACTTGACATCTCAGGCAATACTGGACTCCCCCCCCCTCGCTCTCTCAGGTGCAGGCTTGTTTTGCTGTCCAGCATCTACAGAATTAAAAGTCGTTCTCCTTTCTCAGTCTGGTCCCTGTCTCAGCCTGGCTTCTGCTTTGACCTCTGTCCTCTCAAACTCAGCCATTGTTGTTGCCTAGGAAGAAAACAGGGCAACATCTTTTGTATGCCTCGATCAAGTAACCCAGAGTTTACTCACTCTGGTGGAATACCGAGCAGCGGGACATGCAGGTTCCCCGGCTGGCGGCCCACTTGCCTGCTACGTGTAGCACCTGTCACTCAGGACTGGAGAAGAACACCTATGTGAAGTATTGCCACAACTCTCCAGCATGCTCCCCATTGCCATTCTGTTTTTGTTGGATAGATGTACCTGGTTGAACAGCGTCCCTCTCCAAAACACGTGTCCTTCCCAGAACCTCAGAATGTGGCCTTATTTGGAAACAGTGTCATGGAAGATGTAAGGTCAGACAAGGTCAGACTGGAGCACAGTGGGTCCTTAATCCACTATTGCTGGTGGCTATGTAAGAAAAGGAGAAAGATAGGGACACGCGGGGAGAATACCACGTGACGACGGATGCCCAGGTTGGAACGACGCATCTGCGAGCCAAGGGCGCCAGGATTGGCAGCAGCGTCTGGAAGGTGGGAGAAGACACAGAACACATTCTCCCTCACAACCTGCAGAGGGAGCCAGCCCTGCTCACACCTTGCCAACACCCTGAGTTTGGCTTCTGACCTCCAGAGTGGTCAGATAATGCATTTCTGCTATTTTAAGACACCCAGCTTGTGTACCCTACTACGGCAGCCCGAAGAATCTGTACAGTGGAACCAAGCATCTTGTACATTTCCATTTTGAGAAACTTCAGCTCTGTGGGGTCTTACTAACGGTCTTTTGGTCCTTAACCTCAACTCAGCATACTTTTCTAGCCCACTACTTTCGGTCACTCTACCCGACCTCACTCACTGTCTCCAGAAGTGGACAATACATCGATTTGGCCAAGCATTGCCCAGTGGAATCTCTTCTTCAATATCTTTCCTGTTGGACGGGAGGGGGGCTCCCAGGTTGCCCAGGGATGGTGTTAAGAGGCCAGTTTGCAGGCAGCAGTTCTGGGGTGGGGCCTGAGCTTCTGCAGATCTAACAGGCTCTGATGCCCCCTGGAGCAGGAGACTGTCTGCAGTGCGAATGACCGAATGACCGCAAACCATCCCTCTTTGCTTTGGAAACATCTCTGTACTGAAACTGGAACACAGGTATATCGTTTCTTCCGGAATTGGTGTCCTCCGACAGCATCGCATCGCACTGGAACATGCCATCTCGGGGGCAGCTAGGAAGTTATTTCCCCCATTCCTCCCTCGCTCGGCACACACGTCTTCAATCCGGCGCACCTCGCTTTATCGCGCTTCGCAGGTGTTGCCTGTTTTACAAACTGAAGGCAGGACCCTCCATCAGGAGAAAGGACGGTGGGCGGCTGCATCGCGGTGGTCTGGCCCCGACCCGCAGCACCTCTGAGGTGCTGGGCTCACTGCGCGCTGGGGCGGCGCTGGGCTGGCTTCTTGCTTAAAATCCATCCCGTTGTCTTTCCTCTTGATCATGGATGGGACTTTCAGACTCAGACGAAAATCGCCCGTTGACGGCATGACCAGCTTCTCCCTCGGCTTATCACAGCTTCCCAGGCAAGTCCGCTTCCAAACACAGCTGGGGGGTGGGGTGGGGTGCAGAGCAAAGCTGCAGAAACTTCCAGCTCTGGCTGGGTGAAGGAATCAAAGTTCTAGTCTGGCTTCATAAAGGGCTCTTTTAAAGAAAACTAGGCGAGGCCAGAAAAGCCTCTAGAGAATTCCCACATTTTGGTAAACTTTTTAGAAGCAAGCCAGAAGCTATTTATCCCCCAAGTTTTCCTTTGATATCCCTTCTAAAGAAAATTTTAATTTGCAGGGAATGGCTACAAGGACATGGAATTAAAATAAACCCCTAGTGGGCTGTGTGTGTGTGTGTGTGTGTGTGTGTGTGTGTGTGCGCGCGCACGATAAAGCCAGAGCTTGACTGAACGGGGAAGTTTATTTTCATCTTTCCTCCTCTGCAAGAACTGGAGCTGGGCACACGGATGCCAGCGGAGCCTGCTTGCTGGAGGCCATTGTCATCGCCGTTTGTCTGCCTTGTTATTTGCACCTCATCACCGTGAGTTCGCCCCTCCGCGGGGAAAGAGCCCTTCGTGATTCTGCCCAGGGTTCTGAATTTGGTGTCCAGGCCACGCACCCTTGTGCCTCACCCTTTCTTACGGCGCGATGCTGGCTGGCGGCCGCACCAGGAGGCGTCCTTTGTGGCCATTCAGGCCAGTCCTGTTTTGGCGCGGTGCTTACTGGCTGGGAAAAACCTGCTCCTCTATGTTTCACTTCCATCAGCTGTAACAGGGGCTTTGGAGAAAGACTGAAGAGGGCAAAGTGTCGGCTCCGATGCCCTCTGGTGGTTAAATTGCAACATCACCATCTCTCCAGAAACAGCTGGGGGCTAGTGAGGGGGCATGTCTACTCCCCTGCAGGCACCGGTTGACACTGGTTTGGGTCTGAGTAGGTTAAATTTCCCAGGGACAGAATTAGGCACTTTTCCTTCACCCCTTCAGAGGGCTCTAAATGGCCAAGCAATCAGAAATATGTTCAATTGAGTATCTTGTTAGGTCTGCCTGAAAAACAATCCTATTTGCCAAACTTTGCAACTTGACACTTTTGTACTCAACATTGCAGGAAAATCGTGGGTACTGAAATACCAGCGATGCGTCCCAGACACATTCATATTGCTGACTCCACGAGAAATAGGACATACTTCTGTTTTAAGGATCATCCCGCCAGGTAAAATTGTATTAAAATGAATAAATCAGCCCTGGCCGGTTTGGCTCAGCGGTTAGAGTGTCGACCTGCGGTCCAGAGAGACCCGGGTTCGGTTCCCGCTAAGGGCATGTACCTTGGTTGCAGTTTGTCCCCGGCCCTGGTTGGGTTGTGTGGGTGGCAGCCACTCGATGTGTCCCTTTCACGTCGCTGTTTCTCTCTCTCTCTCTCTCTTTCTCTCTCTCTCCCTCCTACTCTATCTGAACAAAAAATGGAAAAATGTCCTTGGGTGAGGATATAAAAAAAAAAGAAGTCATGACAGTTCCCTATTATATTTTATGAGATGATAAGTAACTATTTACCCTCAAAATAGGACCACACCCTTTGACTTCACTAAACCAGAGAACAAGACCAGTCACATTTACAGGGACATTAACAGGCACGGTCCAGATGGAGACATGGGGAATCTTTTCTTTAAATGCCCCAACAGCTCTTCCTTTTGCAAAAGATCCTAACTGCTGCTGGCCAAAAAAAAGGTGGGCCCTACATTTGGGAGGATTTTTTTCTTTCTATTGTAAATAATTCAGAATAGCGTTTATTATTATTACCATTATTAATTAATAAGTAAGTTGGATTTGCCTGCTCCTGGCTCCTCCCATCCATGCCTCACAATCTTTCTAACGGGGTTAAAAGACGTTCTGTGCTGCTACCTACGTGGCTCCCCTTCCAGCGCCGATGCACGAGGCCGTGAAGGGTGTTTGCTAATAAAGAGGATGTGCTTCACTGGTGCTCAGTCGTCGGTCTCTCCTGCTCCCTGGAAGCCCTCTGCAGTGCTCTCCGGACTTTTCTTCCCCGTTTGCAATCGCTTCCCCCTCGACCTCTCTCTGCCTGTCGACGCGCTGCCCGCGAATCGGAACCTTCCCCAAGCCTCTCGTTGTTTGAGCTCCACTTTAGAGCTTTGGCTTCCTCTGGAGCTTCTGCAGTTGAATCCTGTCCCCGAATGGTCAGGAGCTGTCCTTTTCCTCGGGCGCCTTGCTTCCTGGGCGCCCCCTTCTCCTGCACCTCCTGCTCCTCACTTGGGAAGCAAGAAGGCTGGACGTGGTTGTGGGTTTTCACTGCAGAGCAGAGGGGTTCCCAGGGGCCTCCAAGGAGGTCTCCACACCCCCCCTCGCACTCTGATCGGAGGTTCCCCTTTTGTCAGTGTTTTAAACTGGGCTTCTAAGAAATGTTTCTTTGGCGGGGGGGGGGGGGGGATTGTGACTTAAAAAGAAAAGTTTAAGAAAAAGTTTAAAAAGAAACGATATAAAGGATGACCTAATATCCATCTCAAAGCTCTCAGACTCTTCAGAATGCCCTTCCCTCCTACCTCCTGCTCCCTGGCCACTCCTTGGGAGGCAAGGCGGCAAGTAACAGTTTACAGACATTTGGCACCTGGCTCCAGCCATCACTTCTAATGGGTCTCGGGCAGCTGTCCCAGGCCAGACAAATCACTTTAAAGCTGAGAACAAAACCAAGGAATTTGATTTCTTTTTAAATTAGGAGGAAAATGCACTCTGGGTTCCTGGAAGCTGTTAAGATGCTTTTAAAAAATGTCTTAAGTAATCATGCTCGTATGCTTTCCTTCGTCTCTGAGACTTCTTGGGCAAGTTTCCACTTTGTCTTGGTAGAAAGTTGTTCTGAACAATGGTATGAAATGTGACTATTCTGGTGTCAGGCTGAGGCACGGCGGGGACCGGAACCCAATATTTATCAAGTACATACTGAACTTCAGGGACTACATGTAGATTACCGGGAACTCCTCGAGACAGCCCCCGGGTCCCCATTCTGTATGCGGCTGCGGGAACTTACAGTCACCTGCCCACATACTGATGAGACCAGAAGCCAGCACTCGGACCAGGCCTGAGGGCGCTGGGTTCACAATGCTCTGCAGAGGACATGGCGTCTGTGAACAAGAGCTTTGCTCAGGAAATGCTTCTGAAATCTCTTCACAGATAAGGGCACTGTGTAATTTCTTTTCTAAATGGGGGGACCTGTCCAGGACAAATGTCTAGATGGGGTGCTAGGACAGCAGGCATGCAACGGTACTGTCCTGGGCAAACCAGGATGTCCGGTCCCCTTTTCCGTCCAATGGGCCGGACAAATTCCTATGACCGTAAGAAGCAAGGTTGCCACTAGGAGAATCAGAAGGGAGTGTTGACACCAAAATTTTAACCCAAGTCTCTTTCTAAAGCCGCCCCCCCCCCCCCCCCCATGTGCTGTCTTCCCGAGCCCAAAGCCATGACCAAATTCCCTGATGTATATGACAGTTAGGACACTGGTCAGGACTGGGGACAGAGATAGTACCAACACAAAATTGTATTATCCTGAGTTTCAGAAGAAAAACATCCTAACCACATCTTAGTTCTAAAACCAACTCAGTCACTCGGTGTCGTCAGTGAGAACCTTGTGACTCAGACTTACCCATCTGCAGGTGAAAAGGAAGAGTGGTCCCCTGTCCACTTCCCCCCAAATCCCTCTCCTTTTCTCCGTCCTTCATTCAAGTTGCAAAATAGTTTGCTTATTAAAGTATTGCTGATGCCAATGGGTCAAAATAACCAGAGCGCTCACGCAGATAAGTCACTACCAGCTCGCCAGAGAAACCTGTGTTAGCCATACGTTTTATTTTCTGAATTTCCGATGCTCTGACATCTGGGGCCTTACTGGCCCTGGAGAGACCACCCCTCCCCAGGGCTGGCCAATTCCGAGAGAGAGTAAATGACTGGCCTTCTAGAATGCCTTTCCTATGCACACTAACCCAGCCGAGCCCACCCCACCTTCTCCTCTATTGGGGTTTCACGCTGGGGCCCCATGGCAGGTACCAGACAACTAGGGACAGCTCCTCCACCCCAGAGCCCCCTGAAAATGTTCAAACTAGACAATCTTAAGCCCGCTCACCTAGCCCTTCCCACAGAACCCACAAGGAGGGGTCTTGCCCACCTGTTCCCCTGACTCCTGCCCCCTGACTCATGCTGGGGCCCCTCCCCCACCGTGGCGTGGCCTGCCCCCCTTGGGAACTAGGAGTAATAACTGTCTTTTCAATGGCAGTGGTCTCCTGATCTGTTGTCCTCACCGTACCTGGACAGTAACCACACCGACATTTTAAAACAGAAGCCATCCCTTCTGAAAGGCATTTGCCCGCTACTCCCTCCTCCTACGAACGGTCTCAGTCCTGGGAACAGCAGTGGGCAAGGGGGGCAACAGTGGGCCAGGCGGGGGGTCAGCAGTGGGCAAGGGGGGCAGCAGTGGGCCAGGCAGGGGGTCAGCAGTGGGCAAGGGGGGCAGCAGTGGGCCAGGCAGGGGGGCAGCAGTGGGCAAGGGGGGCAGCAGTGGGCCAGGGGGGCAGCAGTGGGCAAGGGGGGGCAGCAGTGGGCAAGGGGGGCAGCAGTGGGCAAGGGGGGGCAGCAGTGGGCAAGGGGGGGCAGCAGTGGGCAAGGGGGGGCAGCAGTGGGCAAGGGGGGGGCAGCAGTGGGCCGGGGGGGGCAGCAGTGGGCAAGGGGGGGGCACCCAGAGCCTGCCTTTCCCCCGTGGACGGAGGGCAGGCAACGCCGCGAGCAGGCGCAGTTGGCCAGGGACACCCCAGTGAACTGTGGCGGTGCCATCTGGGCACACTGCACACAGGCAAAGAAAAACAAGACCATGGACAGCAAGCCTGTAACTAATCACAGCCCTGCCCACCCATTCGCCCCTGTAGTCACCAGCATGGACTTCTGGGGGGAAACACATACAAATATGCAAGCCGAGTTTACTGCATTCACCTGATAAACACCACACACACATATTTATATGTATATGTTTATATATATAGTTTATATATAATTTAACTGATGCTTCTAATAGTGAAGATAATAAATGGAGAAACGTGCAGCATTCGTAGTTCAAAGAAACCCCAATGTCGCTGGCCTTCTCCCCCTGGCATTCCTGTCAGTAATTAATCTAGAGCTGCCTTTGCAGAGTTCTTGTTTGTTTCAAAGTGAGGACACGAATGTGTTTTCCTGGGAGGACAGAATGTATAAATATTTTATGTAAGTGAGAGAAATGAGTCGAATTCATCCCGAGAGCATTTGTCCCCCACAGTGAGGACAGGAGCTGCTCTGCCCACCTCGGCGGGGAGCGTCGCCCAGAAGGCGTCTGGAAGCCCAGAGCTGGATGATAAGATGCACGGGGTGCTTTTTGCTACTCACCCTTTCGCCAGTGTTGCTATGCCAACGTCGGTTAGCTTCATTCCCACACCTACAGGAGGGCGAGCAAAGACAGAACTTGTGTTAGGTGTGCTGCTGAGAAGGGACCTGTGGGCAGTGCCAGCACCTTCCTGCATGAACCCCACTCTCCTGGCTTCCTCAGCGGAGGCCTCCCTCCCGAGGCCGACGGCCTTCGACCCATCCAGCGTTATGGGACCGGAACAGGGAAGGCGCCTCTGGCGCAGCAGTTCAGGGGGGTCCTGCCTCTCTACGGCGGGGGCTGCGGGCACCAACTCAGTGGACCTCTGCCTCAACCTCCCCACGGCAACCTAGCGACGGGCCTTTGATGGCAAGGCAGGGACCCACAGTGCTACTCCGCCGTCTCTCTGGACCAGCCAGACACCAGCCCAGAGTCTTGTCCTATCAGAGCCAGGCTGCAGGTGACCTGCTCACGGAGGGAGGGGCCTGGCAAGGCAGATGCCAGCCTGGGCTGTGGACAAAGGACTCATCGTCCCGCCAGAGCCACCCCTGAGGTTCGACCTGATGGCAAGCTCCTGTAAGCTCTGTTTCCCGAGACTCGGGACAGGAACGCTAGAGGGTTAAGGCTGTGACTCGGCAGCGTCCTCCTGGAGCCCGGCAGCGCCCAGGCTGCTATTCAGGCTGCTTCGTCAGCCAGAGGGGGCCAGCCTTCCTGCAGGGCGCCTGTGAGCGGAATTAGACAGCACTCTGGGTGAGCCAGTGAGCATTTTAAAAGCCCCTTTCACGGTTGGCAATGAACCCACCTCGTGCTTTCAAAGCTGCTAACAACTAGAACGCGTGTGGAAATGCTTCACATAGCTTTTATTACTGGAACTGTGCTTTAAAAGACACCAGATTGCAAGAGCCCTCTTTGGACACCTCACTTCGTGGAAAGCTGTAGTGAAAAATCACAGCTCTAAATTGCATAGAAGTCCAATTTGAAAAGCCATTTGGCCCTGACCGGGTAGCTCAGTTGGCTGGAGCATTGTCCTGATATGCCAAGGTTGCAGGTTCGATCCCTGTCAGAGTGCATACAAGAAACAGCCAATGAATGCATAAGAGAATCATGAATCGAAGTTTCCCTCTCCCTCTCTCTCTCTTTCTCCCTTCCTCTTTCTCTCTAAAAATCAATCAATAAAATGTTTTAAGTTGTTTGGCAAAGGACCTTGAACTTGAGAATTGCTTTTTCTTGCGCTTCCAGTTACCAGCCATCACTTACAGTTTAGAAAAATAGAATATGACTTTTAAAAGGAACATCTCTCTCTCTCTAGGTTTAATAATTTGCCAGCAATTCAAGCAAGGTTGTGAAAGGTCTGTACAGGGCCATTTAAATTCGAGTGTGCAGCTGCTGAACTGTGCTGGGGATAATAATCAAGCACAGTGGGTCTCTGCTGGAAGGAAGGGAATAGGCAGCGATACGAGTTCGTTCTCCAGATCTTGAGTCCTTGGATCTGCTGGGTGGCAGCTTCCTAGGAACCCTAGGGGTCTCACCAGTGTGCAGAGCTTAGGGCCAGACCCCAGGCTCGGCTTTGCTCCTACACGAGCGGGACCCACCGCCGTCCTATCCATCCGCAAATACAACCAGGGAAGGGCTAACTTCTAAGAGTCTGAGAAGGCAATGGTTGAGTCTGAGTTTGTTTGTTTATTTCGTGCTAATTCCAGTGTCTTGGTGAATTTATAACATACGAATATTGTTGAGAGAAGGGATGTGCTATATGTGCTATAAAGACGACGGCAATGAAAAGACGTCCCAGCAGCAGCAGAGGGTGCACAAGCACCGTTCTGAAACACCCCATTAAACCGCACACCTCATTTACGGAGAGAGGAAGCTTCCACCCGGGCTGTGTACGCCTGGAAGCAGAACCAGTTGACAGAGGGCTCTGGGGTGTTACTTCTCAGTAGAAGAACTACATTTACTGCAAAATGAACCCTGAAGGAGAAAAGATTGGGAGCATCGCGGACTGTGCAGCAGAGTCTAATTAGAATAGATGGCTGTCTGCCGAGACCACACTTGGTGTGTGTGGCCAGGAAGTCTCTCAAAGCCAGTGGGCGGCTGCCTTCAATGGGCAGACCAGCCCCATCTGCAAGACCGGAATGTTGTCCTTCCCAGCTGGCCTGCGAGGAGTCCCTCCCGGGAGCCTTTGATTTCAGGAGACACTGGATATCTCCTGCCGGTTTGTAACCGTGTGGGTTAGTGCGAACAGCCTGGGGTTTGGAGTCAGAAACCATGAGTTGGAGCCTTGGGCTCCTCTGCGTATTAGCTGATTGCCAGCAGGCAACTAAATCACTGTCTCTGGGCCTCTGTTTTCTCATCTGTAAAACGGGGGTCACAATACTGATTTTGCAGTTATTTTGAAGATTAAATAAAAATAACAGGAGAGAGTGAATGCACACAAAAACCAGCGAAATCGGAGCAAGGTCTGCCGTCCAGTTAATCGGGCTGTGCTAATGACAACTCCCGGTTTTGATAACACGCTGCGGTTCCATAAGATGTTAGCAATGGGCAGGGCTAGATGGAGCGTGCACGGGGACCCCTCTGCACACTGTTGCAACTTCTTGTGTCTTTGGTTATTTCAAAATAAACATTTTTGTAGAAATAGGGAACACTTGCCTCATTTAATGTGTTGCTATCTCATGTAATCTTCACAACAACCCCCCTGAGGCACAGAGAGGAGAGTCACTTTCCCAAGGCTAAGAGCCAGCAAGGGGAGGAGCAGGGGACAGAACCCGGAGGCAGCCTTGCTGTCCACCACCGTGCTAGATCCTAGGGTCCTCGTACAGAACAACATCTGACATTCGGTGGGCATACGGATAGTTCAGATTTTTCTTGGCATGATTACTTGGAAAGTGAAACAGGACTAGGAAACCCCTATGGAGGGCATGGTGCCCCGCCCAGTGCCCTCACCCTAACCACTTTCCTGCACACTGGCGCCACCTCCGGGTGCCACCCCAGCATTTCTGTGCCTGCGAACTTTCTCTGATCACAGGAACCTGCTTTGCTCAGCTTGGCTCGCCCTTGTGCAGAGGCAGCCTACCCGGTGATTAAAGGGGGTCACTCCCTGGGTGCACAGGCTCCCAGAGCTCCCCAGGAGGCGTGAGCTTCCGGGGCCCACCGTGGGAACTGGCTGTAGTATAAGGTGCCCTCCTGGCTGCCGTCCCTTTCCCTGTCACACTTCTCCACTTTCCTTCCAGTGTTTCCTGGGATCCCAAATATTTGTACTTGAACATCTGTGTGCAGGAAGGGACTAACCAGGACCGAATAAAGTTTCAATCCCCACCCAGGTCCTCTAGGGTAAATCTAAGCCGTTGGAATGTCCTGCCTGATAAGAGTAGCTTTATCCACCTGAGATCTTGTGCTATCACCTTGACCTCCGGAGAGGCTAGAGACAAAGGTCAATTTCATGTGACGGACCCGCCTCCCCCAGTGAAAACTTGGGATGGAAGGCTCACGGAGCCTCCCCGGCCGGCAGCTCTCGGGGCGCGTTGCTCTACTTCATGGCTGGAGAGGGAGGCACCGTCCCCATGGCTCCGCTGTCCCCATGGCTCCGCCAGGAGAGGACAAGTGGGTCTCCTGCCTGGCCTCGCCTGCACTCTGCCCCACGCACCTTCCCTTTGCTGACGTGAGCCTGTGTCGTTTGGCTGTAAGAACCTTAACCGTGAGTATAACAGCTTTTCTGAGTTCTGTGAGTCCTTCCAGCAAATTAATGACCCTGATGGTGGTCTTGGGGACCCCCACACTGCAATTTGACTCAGGGCTACTTCTGTGGGAAAACTAAGTATGACGTCCCCACTCCCGCCAGCAGATGCAGTCCTGAAAACGTGTGCAGGAATTAGCAACAGGCTGAGAGTTCGTCAGGGGAGCTGGGAATCCAAGTAACTAGGAAAGGCCCTTCCGCCTACTAAGAATGAACGATTACATCTTTTTTTTTTTTTTTTTATCCTCACCCGAGGACATTTTTTGATATTTTGCTCAGATAGAGTGTGTGTGTGGGGGAGAGAGAGAGAGAGAGAGAGAGAGAGAGAGAGAGAGAAACATCGATGTGAAGGGACACATCGAGTGGCTGCCACCCACACGACCCAAACAGGGCCGGGGCCAAACTGCAACCGAGGTACATGCCCTTAGTGGGAACCGAACCCGGGTCTCTCCAGACCGCAGGCCAACGCTCCAACCACTGAGCCAAACCAGCCAGGGCTGAACGATTACATCTTAATCTAACTTGGGGCGCATTGGGTTTTCACATAGACCTCTGAATCTGTGCCTACTGAGGGTGTAACAACAGAGTCAGTCTTTGGTTGCCTGTTTTCATGGGGAGGCATGGTCGGCATGAACTATTAAAATGCCCTTGAGGGCTCCGTGTGGCCGGTCATTTCCGGTTCCTCTGTCACGCCTTGTTTCTGGTGAGACAGCGGTAACACCTTCTGGTGCTGAAGGTGCTTAAAGGCACCCAGCACACTTCTTCCTCCCCAGGAACACCCCGGCCCACGCGTCCCTCACCCTGCATGTCTGTGACCAGCAGGCAGCCACCTGTTTTCTGGTACACCCAGTGCTGGAAGGTGCAGCACTTCTGACCGGCCTCCGAGTCTCTTCTCAAGAAGTTGATTTCCTTCCCGTCCCGGATGGAATACTTGACAAATTCTCCAATCAACTCCTCCTCCACCGTGGCATATGGGATGTTGTTGTTGGGCCGATGGATGAGAAAAATCGGAATGATTCTGGAAGGGAAGAGAACATGGGCACACGTCACGTTCTGAGATGGGAATGAAGTCTCTAAGGGCCTCGCCTGGAGCGGCGGGGAGCTGCAGAAGAAACCCCTGGCTTCATTCGATTTTGACTAAAAATCCCCCCAGTGACTTACTCAATGAGTAGAAGGATGTGTTTCTGTTTTTATTTATCCCTAGACTTGGTCAAAAACTCCTCCTGGAGATGGAGTTTAATTGCTCATGTAGAAATGAATGTTTCATTATAATCATATCTCAGTGACCCATTGGTCATGTGACTGTAACCCATCCATCATAGAGCCAACCTTCCATCCTTCCTTCCGTCCTTTCTTCCTTCCGTTGGGTCCACAAATCAACAGATATTTATTCAATGGCCTCTAGGGTCAGACGCTCTTCCAGACTATATTCCAGAAAACAGCAGTGAAGAGAACAGCTCTGCTCTCAAGGATCTTACATTTAATGAAGGAGACAGACAGTGAACAGGTAGACGTGTGTCACTCCGTGCTATGAGAAAACAAAGCAGGGGAGAGGAGGGAGGAGGACCAAGGTCAGGGAGGGGCTGCTGTTTTATGCAGGGAGGTCAGAGAAGACCTTGCGAATAAAGGGCGTTTGAGCAGAGAGCTGGCTGCAGGAGGTGGGGGCAGCGGGGCCCGAGGATATCTATGGAGAGAGCCTTCCAGGTAGAAGGAACACCAAATGGAAAAGGCTCTGGGGCCGGAGCGTCCTTGATGTGTTCAAAGAAGAGCGAGGAGCCGGGGGGGCTGCAGGGAGCTAGGAGAGAGGCTGTGGTAGACAGAGGGGGACAGGGCAGGAATGGAAGCCACCCTTGGGGGTGTCTGGTTGGCCATCTGAAAACTCTGCCCTTTGTGCTGCGTTGGACAAGGAGCTGTTGGAGAGTTTGGGCAAAGGAGAGACGTGATCAAACTCCTGTGTTACAGGGATCACTCTGCCACTCTGTGTGGAACAGACTGTGAGGACAAGGGCGGAAGCAGGGAGACCCGGCAGGTGGCTCTGCAGGGGTCATGGCAGCTGGAAGTGGATCGCTCTCGGAAGGCCTCGTCCAGCATTAATCCACCCGTGGTCCCACGTGCCGGGTGAGCATTTCCTACCTGCTCCTCTCGCCTGTAATGCCCACACCTCCTCCCCAGTCGCACTCCCGGCAGCTGACCCTGCTTCCTGTTCCGTGTGCAGACTCGGGCAACAAGAACAGAACGTCTGAAGCTGCCACCCCACATATTCCCCCTCCCAGGGTCTGCGCCCTACCCTCCGCCTTCCCGCCCCTCCTTTGCAGGGATCCTTTTTCTTTTTTCTTATCCTCACCCGAGGACATTTTTGCATTTATTTTCAGAGAGAAGGGGGAAGAGAGAGAGAGAGACATCAATGTGAGAGAGACATACCGACTGGTTGCCACCCACACAACCCCAACCGGGGCCGGGGACAAATGGCAACCGAGGTACGTGCCCTTAGCAGGAACCAAACCTGGGTCTCTCTGGTCCGCGGGCCGACGCTCTAACCGCTGAGCCAAACCGCCCCTGCATGACCCATCTCAGCTACTGTGGCCTGGACCCAGTCCCTCTCAAATGCTCAAGGGTATTGCGCCAGCAATTTTTCTCTCTACATCGGGCTGGGGAACGTCCAGCCCTGGGGCGCATTAAGACCCAAGAAATCAATACCAGCTAATATCACACACCTCACCTAACTAGCCTGAAAAAGTATAGCAGACTAATTTTTACGTTGAAAATTTTATATGGCCCGCAAATGATATTATAAATATCCAAACGGCCCTTGGCAGAAAAAGGTGCCCACCCACCCTGATGGCATAGCAACACCTCTACAGAGCAGGTTGACCCCACGGTCCTCTTCAACTACGGACTCGGAGCGCACATCAAAACAGCGCAGTTGTAGACGCCTCCGTCCCCTCCCCTCCCGTCCTCTCTCGAACCCCCTCAGAGTGGCCTCCCACCAAGAAGCTCGGTCGAGGCCCCACGGGCACCGTGTCGCAGAGTCTACGGTCTCACTGGCCCCCATCTTACTTGCTCCCACCGGCACGTGACTCAGTTGACCTCACTTCTTTTTTTTTTTATCCTCACCCGAGGACATTTTTTTGCATTTATCTTTAGATAAAGGGAGAGGGAGGAAGAGAGAGAGAGAAACATCGATGTGAGAGAGACACATCGAGTGGCTGCCACCCAAACGACCCCAACTGAGGCCGGGGACGAACTGCACCAAGGTACGTACCCTTAGCGGGAACCGAACCCAGGACTCTCTGGTCCGCGGGCCGATGCTCCGACCGCTGAGCCAAACCAGCAGGGCAGAACCCACTTCTTTGTGAAACACCTTCCCTCGGCCTTTAGAAACTCACTTCCTCTGGGTTTTCCTCCTGCTTCCCAGCTACTTCCTGTCTGTCTCCTCATTTCTCCCCAGCCTGGAGACCCCAGCACACCCCAGCTCAGCTCTTCTGTCTCACCCACGACTTGCTGCAGGAGAAACTTCCAGCCCACGAGCAAAGAATGATTTTTATAGATGACATTTGCCATCGATTTGTTCATAGGGAACACTAACTTTGAACCCCAATTAATTGAAATATTACTTTAAAAAGAAGAATTCCATTCTTCTCGTTAGTAAATATCAAAAATTATATTCAAGAGTTATTATTATTATATTTTAAAATCCATCAGTAAGGTTTTGTTACATAAATATCTACAGAATAGCCTCGATGTTCGCCTCTTGACTACAAGGCCCCAAATAGTTACTGTCTGGCCCTTTACAGAAAAAGTTTGCCGACCCCTGGTCTCAGGGTTTGTCTTCTGCTGGTTACTGCCTTCTCCCTCTTCATCTCCTCACTCTGCCTTAAAGCCACAGACATGAGCTTCTCTCCCTGCCCTTTAGAACAACCATCACTACCTCCCTTCGTATGGACTCTGCTCACCGTAGACCATCACCGTTCACGTGTTCACAAACTCCCCCATGGTAAGGAAGGAAAGGGGTCTCGGACAGCGGAATGTCCTAATCTTCAGAGCAGTGGGGTATTTACTGGGGTGCCAAAATTTGCTTGGGTGAATAATCAATGAGGGGCTAAAAGTAATCAGTTTCATCGATCTCTATAGGATTCCAGGAAGTGGGTATTCTGTTCCTATAACCCTGATCCCCCAATTCACTCTTTCTGGACACTACCAGACTGTGCTGTCATCACTGGACTAACCATTTTTGTAATATTCTCATGTTCTCTTGTATTTGCTTATTGTTTAGACAATGTAATATTCATGAGAGTAGACATCCTTTCTTTTCTATTTAGCATGATAGATACATTTATGAAATCCATCCATCCATCCATCCCCACATACATTCATTTAAAGAGTATGTACCAATGATCTTTTCGTAAGCCTCTGCTGACCCAGTGTAGCACAGGACAGCTTGGCTGCCCTCACAGCTACAGACAGAGACCAACTGAAATGCTCGCCCTCCTGGTCCTTCTCAGCCCTCACCCTGCCCCAAGCCCCCGCCACGTCCGAGATGGAATCCGAGAGAGGGAAACGCACTCACTCTGGCACTTCTCCGAAACCTTCCAGAGGCTGGGCTTCAGCAGCGTAGATCTTGGCGTAGCATCGGGCGGTGTTTTGAACATAGCATTCCTGTAGCACCCAACACACGGGAAATCCACGCGATTAGCGGTGGTGCTCCACCTTCCTGTGCTGCAGCACTTTAATACATTCCTCATGTGGTGGGGACCCCCAACCATAAAATTACTTTTGTTGCTACTTCATAACTGTAATTTTGCTACTGTCATGTCTTAGGCGACCCCTGTGCAAGGGTCGTTCAACCCCCAAAGGGGTCGCGACCCACAGGTTGAGAACCGCCGGATTAGGGCAATCCCGAGTTGTTTGGTAAAATTACTCAGATTTCCTAACGTGGGTCAAGCCGATGGACTCCCAAACCCATCCCCTGGTGGGGGGCACAGAAGCAACAATGACTGAAGGAGAGCTGGCCCCTGGCAGAGGAGCTCGAAGGCCTGGAGGAACCCATCCAGGTGAAGGTCAAGCGGTCTCTGGGGCCAGGCGTCCCTGAATTATAAAATTTCTAGAATTGCATGGATCGACTTCACCCCTGAACTGAGGGGACTGGCCCCTCAGCAGGAGGTCAGATAAAGCTCGGGGCTTGCTGGGTTTCCAATGCGCTCCCCGCCCCCGCCCGCCCCCCCCCCCCCTTCCGGCGGCTTTCTACAGAGGTGCAATCGGAGCTGTAAACAGTGAACATCTTGACAAGATTGCCGGCTTAGGAACAGCAAACTGGAGTGTGCTTTCCCCTCGGTAGGCATTTCTGAGTGGGAGTCCGCATGCTGGGGCAATTCCCATGCCTGGCCCAGATGACAGCTAAGGTGGAAGGGACTCTCAGTGAAGGAAAAGAAGACAGAAGGGTGGATCTGGAAGAGCATGAAATACAATTGGCAAAATCCTGCCCCGCAGAAGAGGGGCTGCCTTCATGAGCACCAAGACCCCCATGACCTACCACATCTGAGAGAACCGTGGGTGGTTCATGCTTGATGGTATCCAGGACATTCATCTAAGTCTAATCCATTCACTTTGTAGGTAAAACATTTTTAAGGGAACCTGGTTTGGAAAAGAGCTGGACTCAGCCCTCCAGCCAGCTTGGCCGGTGCTGATGTCAAGAGCGAAATACAAGGACCAATGAGAGAGGGGCGGGGAGAGGACCCATGCTCACCTCCTCTCCTCCCCTGCTGCAAGAGTTCTGTGTGTCATAGCATCGAGAGGAGGGGACTTCGCTAGAGACTCAGGTCCTAGCTGACACTGAACCAAACTCAGGAAGGCAGGAAATAGGGCAAACTCTTCTGTCCTGTCCTCCTAAATGTATCCCACCCTCCTCCTCCTCCATCCAAAACAAAACACTCCGGAAACTATTCCTGATTTTTTTTTTTTTTTTTCTTTTTATCCTCACCCAAGGATATTTTTCCATTTTTTGTACAGATAGAGTGGGAGGGAGAGAGAGAGAGAGAAACATCGATGTGAAGGGACACATCGAGTGGCTGCCACCCGCACGACCAACCAGGGCCGGGGACAAACTGCAACCGAAGTATGTGCCCTTAGCGGGAACCGAACCCGGGTCTCTCCGGACCACAGGCTGACGCTCTAACCGCTGAGCCAAACTGGCCAGGGCACTATTCCTGATTTTAGCTGTCTTTGGGGATCCTGGCATCCAGTGTAGCTTAGGACACCCCCACCTTCTAGATCATCCTGTGTCCAAGAAGATTCAAACCCTCGGGGATCTCATGGGGCTCCCTAGGAGATGATCTCAGCCCAGCTCAGAACTGGTGAGGGGCCTCCAGACACAGGCTGGGTCCCATCTGGCTGCACGAGGCCAGGAACTACTCCTGGGAGCTGAGACGTGGTCCCCAGCCCTCAGCCTGAATCCAGCAGTCCCCATATCACCACCACCCCCAAAGGGAGACAGACACCCTCTCAGAGACCCTCCCATCAATTCTGGGTCTGATTATCCCGGGTCCCTCTCACACCTCCAGTGGGTCAGGACAGGCAGACCCACCTGGGCAGCGAGATCGTAGTTCCTCTGGATGAGCTCATCGTTGTTTCTGGTCCCGTAGGCAACTGCGTTGTGCACCTTGAGCACGCAGGCGTGGCCGGGCTGGAAGACCGGCATGAGGCCCTGCATCACTTTGCTGCGGAAGGCTTTTCGGTGGACGCCCTCTCCGAAGTGCAGCTCCTCCGTGGCGATCTGGCCTCGCAGGCGGTCCCCAAAGTAGCTGTCATGGAGGAAGTCTTCTTTGAAGATAAGTTGGCTGAATTCAATCTCTTCATATCCTAAAACATAGCTCAAATTCAGTCCTACACTGCATCTTGCTCAGGGACCATCTCCCTCTCTCATCTTTGAGCTATGCCTCTGCCAGGAGTTAAACATGGTTTCCTCTTCCAGGTTCTACAGGTCACCCTTGTCATTGTCCCTGTGTGGGAACATTGGTTAACCAAGGAGCGGGATTGGGGGATATCTGCAGATCAGTGTAAGGCCCAGTGGGTCAGATAAGGGGTGGAAGATCAGTTGAAACAAAGTTGGGGAGGCCAGGAAAAGAATTGTACACAGATCTGGAAAATATATGCAGAACCATGAGAGGTAATTCAAGGTACTTTGAAAAGACAGGTGACATGTAGAAGAGAGAGGACTCATGGTACTATCTGATAGACTGATGTTTCTCAACCCTTTTTCATCTTTTCTCCTAATTGCTCCCAAAGAATTTTAATAGCACAAATGTACTGCATGTCTATTTATGTACTTTATATATATTTGTGCTTTATTTATTTTTTCTTTATTGATTTAAGAGAGAGAGAGAAAGGGAGAGAGAAACATTGATGAGAGAGAACATCGACTGGCCGCGTCCTGCATGCCCCCCACTGGAGATCAGGCCCACAGCCTGGGCATGTGCTCTGACTGGCGACCTCGTGGTGCGTGGGTCAATGCTCAGCCACTGAGCCATACCGGCCGGGCTATGTCTGTCCTTTATACACACACAAAATGTTTTCTTGCCTCCCAAGAACCAATGTTGCCCTCTTGGGGGAGATAGTGCCTCTTGAGAATGCCTGTGGAAGCTGTAAGAAATAGGTAGACAAAAACCAAACCAAACCAACCAATCAAAATAAGTAAAAGGAACTGCCTGGGGAGAAATTGGAAAAGGGTAGAAAGATTTTGGATTTATCTGTAAAAGGAAAAGTAGAATTATTTTTTGTTTTCTAGCAGTTGTTTCCGAGTTGGTTCTGCACACGTTTCAGTTGGCAACACATTCAATCAGAATGTTCCACTTCAATCTAGAGTTGACCAAGGCAGACTCCTGATTGGCTGAGAGAAGAAGTGGGAGGGCTTTCAATGAAATAAGATTGTTTTGATGTTTTTTAAATGCCTTCCACTCCTCAAAGTCATTGAAAACTGTCATTGTTCTGAATGTTTAAAAGAAGACATCATGGGTCGTGTGAAAATCTATTTAGAATCACTAGAGAAATATTTTTCTCTTTTTGAAAAAGTATTTACAAATATTTACACATTTTAAGAGCAGTCTATGACTGATGCTAGCTATTAAAATTACAAGGAGGCTGAAACTCTTCTTCAGGGTGTTGAGTAATGTCTGGGCCTAGATGTTGCCAGAAAGAAAGAAAGGACAGGTGGGGGATTCCCCAACAGAACAGGTGGGTAAAGCTGCCACAGAAAGGACGCTCAGAGGGCGCCCAGAGTTGCACCTGCCCTGGGTTTCTGCAGAGACCTGGGTGGAGCCCCAGCAGAACACAGCAAAGGGGATATTTTCCCAGGTAAACTTGAGGGAGACAGTTGTATCACAGATTTCATCCTGTGCAATAGAACCAGGAAAACAATTTTTTAAATTTATGGAGAAGAGTATAGTTTTTTAAAGTTAAATTTAGAAATGAGATAACAAAATGGAGAGGGAATACCTTTTATATAACCCAAATTTTCTCGATTTGGGCTATATAATTTCATTTTAACAGTCTGGCACCTAATACCACTTAAGAAATTACACACACACACACACACACACACATATATATACATACACACGCACATATATATATACATACACACACACACATATCTATACCTATATATACATATATATATCAGAGCCCAATAAATATAAACTATATTTACTATAGCTGTTTTCCTTCAAAATCCCAAAGTTCAATTATTCTTAAAAGTAAAAAGTTTGTGCACTTTATGCTTAATTTAAGAGTCATCAAATTTAATATTCCAGGCTATATGCTTGGAAATAGCAAAGAATTTTTTGCACAGTACTATATATGGTATCATTAACAACCCAGTCTTTAATTTCCAACTGAAGCATCTACTTAACAAAGATTTTTTAAAAAATTGTTTAAATAAGAAATCTCAGGAGTTTTCTTTGAAAGTTCTGTGCACTATCATTAAGTTGTTCTAGTTTGTGTTTTATTTGGACCATCATTCATTTTGGGCTTTCCCGTGAGCTTAGTTTTATTAGTTTGTTCATTAGAGACCAACTTGTAAAATGTTATTTGTTCTTCCTCTAGAGAATTAAGCTAGTGAAATGTTTAGTGAGAGAGATTCCCTCCAAATGAAAACCATGACAGTCATTTGAAACATCTCCATCAGAAAGTGGAAGGGGGGGGGGTAGGGGAGGGCACTGAAATTGGAGCTACAGTCTCAGGCAGAAGCTGGAAGAAGGTGATGTCATCGGGGTCTAGACCCAAACCCTTGGATCAGATCGCAGGCTCTGCAACAGGGGTGCCATTTCCACCAGGGGCCGGTAGCTCATCCCCACTGGGGTCTCATTCCTGACTGGTAAAACCTTGCGAAGTGAGTTTCTGCAAACCTAAACTAATGAGATGACAGCGAGTATCTGGGGTGTGACAACCAAGCAAAGCCAAGAAGTTGATGAAACAGAACTACCCTTCTTCCGAAGGTCGTTTTGCTTTCTGAAAAGTCAGAAGGAAGGATGCTCTTTTGCATATTTTGACTCTTGGAGAGAGAGGAGCAGAAGGCGAGGAAGAATTTAAAATGAGACCACAAGTACAATGCACAGTGGAGACAGGTGATTGGTCAGCATTTGGGTGGGTTTGCGAAGAGTCTGTCTCTGCGTTTGCTGTCTTGATACATATCACAATGTTTGCTGAAGCATTTCAGAGTCAAGGAGCCTGACCCTTGCCTTTCACGTGCTGAATGTTACTGTCTTGATGGTCTTCACTGTCTTGTTTTCAAAGATTTCAGCTATTTGCTTTACAAACCAGCATGTAATACAAAATCATTTTAATGATCAGAATTTTATTCCTATTTCTCCTAAGAGTGACCAAGTGCCCCAAACTGTGCCGAGAGCCTTGGAAACGTGAGGTGAGGGGGGCTGGGAGGTGCTCCATCCGCTCCCTCCAGCCCCTTAGAGCTAATTGTGGGCATCTCTTCCCAGGTCTGCATTCCTGCTTGGTCACATTGTCAGTTTAAAATTGGCCACGGTGAGAGTATTTACACCACAGAAATCAGAAAACTATATAATTCAACCCCCACCCCCGCACCAAGGCATGTTGTTAAAAATTTACCAGCACACTAGCAGGTGGGGTGGGCATATGTGTGGGAACAGGTAATTGTCCCTAAACAGGACAAGCAGGGACTCCACACAATTGTATCAGTGGTGGCTCAGGGGCAGTGGGGTGCTCAGGAGCGGGGCCAGGCTGTTGCTACACTATGTGTACACACGTGCCAAAGGAGACCGGAAAACCCATCTTTCATTTGCATGCAGATGAGTGGGGTTTTTCTCCTAGAACCTGGCTCTCTTTGGGAGTCTGCTCAGCTCAAAGTGAAAAGTAAACAGAAGAACCAAAACATGTCATATACATGCCAGAGGCTGAAAAATTCCACGCAGATGGCCGAATGCTAGTCTGATGCTTAAAGGGAGAAGTGTAACCCCAAACTCGCCCTCCACATGTCCCCAGCAACCACCCACTACAGGCTGATCTCTCTCATAAATGATACTCTTCTGGATACTCCTGGCCTAGAGAACTTACAATCGGCCTTACAATCGGGTTGACATGGCTCATGGATTTTCATTCACGTCTCAACCATCCCTGAGCTCTGTCTTATTTGGCTAGAAGAGTCCATAGGACTATCGCTGCTTCCATCGACTCAGGAGTTAGTTCATGCTTTACGTGTGCCCACTCCCTTGACATCCCACTCAGACCAGCTTACCTTTCCTATCCTGGGGACTGGAAAGTTGTTTGAGAACTGAAAGAAGATACAGAACAGAATGCCTTTAGTAAAAATGAACACTCTTGACTGGTAGGGGCTGGGGGGGGGGTCTCATGTATTGGAAACTGAGGAGCTGAGGTTTACCTTCAGCAGTGAGGTCAAATTCAGCAGTCACTTTTCCATAACTGTTCTTGAGGCAGCAGTAATAGAGGCCCTGGTCCTTCTGACTGGCTTGAACGATGACCAAGGACACAATGGAGGTGTCTCCTGCACTGAAGGGGGCGCATGAACATTGGCACGTGTCATCATTCTGAACTACATTTTCTAAGGTTCCTTAGACCTAACGTTTGCAGCCAATGAGCTGGCTCGAGGACAAGACCGTGGCAAGCTGTTTAAATCATTTGTTTATCTGCAGCGGACGATCAGCACAATTTTGATTTAACACTCTCCCATAGACGATATTAACACACATAAACATTTGGGAGGGGTGACTGTCATTAATAAAACACAGGACTAGAATTGTGAATTCGGGGGCTGATCAGAATTGACCTCTGTTACGTTACTAATCCAGGGGACTTGTGCTTGAAGGAAACCTCAAAACTTCAAACCCAGACCCCCTAAGGGACAAGAGAAAGGGAGTCTTTGCTGTTTATAAGTGACTCATGGCTGAGAACTCTTCTAAATAGTGCCCTCCCCTAGGGAATACCTTTCTTCCATCCATCCACCCAGCCAACATTAGCTTGTCCTGAGGATGACATGAAATAGACCTTTAAGTGATTAGCACCGTGCCTGGCACATACCAAGTGGTCAGTACACAGTAGCTGTCACCATCGTCATCATCATCATCATCATCATCGCTAGTTTTTCCATTCATAACACAATGCTTGGAACTTAATAAATCAGACTACATCCTGGATTCAAGGGATTCATGGCTGAACGTGGACTGGAGAAGCCCAGTAAGAAGGGGAAGGTTTCCCGGCAAGGCTGGAGACACAGAGAGTCACAGAGGGACCTGTTGATGAGCACAGTGTTTCTGTCCCTGACAGGGGCACTCGAAATCCACCAGACTGGCCGGGGATTGACCCAGAAGAACTGTCTCATGAACATCTTCCTTGCAGCCCAGAAACTTGGAGGCCATTTTCTGTTTTCGTCCGTCATTCCCACCTGAGGTCTTCTGGGAGCAATTACTTAGGCGTCAGAAAGGCCTGGATTCAAATCCTAAGCTGACCTTGGGCACGTCACCTCGTCTCTCACCCTCAGTTTCTCGTCTGGGAAAGAGGAAAGAGCAGGCACGTGAAACCTTAGCACAGGGTGGGGCCCGGTGAGCAGTCCGGAGCCGTTAGCATGGGTTCGCTGCCGCGTGCCCAGTACTGGGGAATTCAGTGATTAATTAATTTTTAAGGCATGGTCCTTGCCCTTGAGGGTCTTCCAATCTGGGAGGCGATGAACGAACAAAAATACTAATATGAACTGTGGAAAGTGAGAAGAAGTATCTTGTACCTCTTTGAATCAACACGGAAAAGCTCAGTTTCTCATCCGGTTCACTTGTCAGCAGCAAATCCTTTACAATTAGGGGAAGAAATGGACAAATGCAGGAAGGGCCAAGCTGGGAGCCAAATGCAAAAGAAACCTGTGCTGTGAGTGGGGTCCAAGTAACACCGATAAAAACCAAACTGGCTGGAGGCCTTCCCAGAAAACCCCATCACCCATCACTGCCCTAGGGAGCCAGGGGGCTGGTAGCATCCACTGCGCAACATCCAGTCTGGGCTGAGAAGTCCTCGGGTATCCTTCCTACGGCCAACCCTGCTTGTTAGGCAGGAATGGCGTGGCCCGTGCGCTGAGACATTGCTCAGCTCTCGCCAGTCCCCTCCAAGGGGCCAACTAAGCCCAGCGCACTCTGGTTACAGGAAGGTCCCGATGGCCCAGACAGCACTGGAGGGTGCCAGCTTGAGACCTTCACGGAACCGAGGCGTGGCAGAAGCCCTCGGAGGAAGCCGCCACTTTCTTCTTCTTGGTTTCCTCTGAGTACACTCACTTTTCCTGAGCCTCGAGCAGGTGTCCTGACACCTGATCTCCGCACTTCACTTGTTAAGGAAAAGAGTCCAAAACTTGGGGACAAAGGCAAAAACATGGTTGCATGTGCTTTGTATGTCACTGTTCATCGGGCTACCCAAGGGGCATTTAATAATAGAATGCGCCCGTGTTTCACTTTGCTATTTACTGTTTGACTAGAACTCACCCAGACATTCTTAAGTTGGAGCTTCTAGGATTCTGTCCAGGAGCAACGATAACCCCCAAGGTTTATTACCTGTCAAACATTGACCAGTTTTGTACGTATTTGTAAACCTCTATTAGCATTCTTTTTGCCTGATTGACTAGATAAATCTCCATTGCTCAGAGGCTCCTTGGAACAGCTCTGCCTCTCTCTGGCCCCTGGTTATTTACTGAGGTGAAGAAGATCTTTGCTACAGGTCCCTATTACATCTGCTGGAGGAATTTCAACTTTCTGAAAATTACATCCTGACAAAGGCGGTGAGATATTCATGGAGGGATGTTGTAGGGGAAACGCTCAACTGGAACTGGGGGTTGAAAAGAATGTGATAACATCTGAAACCCCACGTGAAACAATGGAAATGGTCTCCTGATAGACAAAGGAATTATGCCTGCCAAATATTCTCAAGTGTTAGCAGAGAGAAGACCAATGGCTATGCCTCATCCAGACAGTGTCTCGAAGAAGACAGGAAGCAAACAGCGCTGAGACCTGGGCGGCCTTGGCCACATGTCATCAGTAAAAGCATGACACCAATGCTATAGGCCACCCGGAGGGAGGTCAGGCTTTCTAAAGACGCCTCAAAAGGAAAAGGAACTGAAAGATTCAGGTGCCGATTCTGAGTTTAGAGCAAAGCTGCAGAAAACGCTGACTAATGGCGCTTGGCTGGCGGCTACAGAAAGCACTTTAAGTGGATCATTAGTAATTCTTTTTGATAAAGCTCTAGAGAAGAAATAGCCTTGATGTGAAAACCAAGCCATTGTTTCTCCATTCTAATTCCTCCGAAGCCAGCGTAAGACAAGGGTAAGGATGACACTTCCTTGCATCGATCAGTCCAGCGAGGTTTTCTGCAGCTCAAATCCTCCATAGTCGCATCAGGGACATTAACTTCCAGACACATATTCCAAACAGACCTGTTCAATTTAATTATACCGAAACTCAGATTTTTCTCACTTTTTCAGTCTATGTGTGACTGGATTAAGGGGATAGGAACAGCTCCCGTGACTCAGGGAGCTGAGCTAGGACCTCCTTCGGCAGAAAGAAGCTTCTAGGAATCGTTGTGGGTTATGCTGGTTTCCATCAAACCAGGTAATCTGTTTCTAGAATGATCCACACCTCCTCAGGTGTGTCAGATGAAGCTCAAGTTCATCAGTTCTCTTAAAGAAGCACTTCTTGCTAGAAAGGTGCTTCAAGAAGCCATTAGCCTGGTTCACCCCACACGGGCACTCTGGGCATTGACTGTCACTCTCGTCACTGCCCACCTGTCCCCTGTAGCCTCGGGCCCCAGACTAAAGCTGGTTTCCCATGTCAGCAGCAGCTACCTTTCTGCAACCACATGGACTGTCTTCTCCTTTCGATTCACCTTCTTCACTGTGTACGACCTTTGTCAGGCTGATGGGAATTTGTGAAACAGAAAACAGCCAAATTCACAGACATGCAGAAGGAAACTCTGAAGTCCTGGATGACAGACTGCACACTAGAGGCAATCTGACATATTCCCCTACATGGAAGGAAAGTGTACCGATTTAAAAATTTTTAAATGTCATCTAAAGATTGTCAATTACATTTTTAAATATAATGAAAGGTTTTATGATTTCCTAAGGCCACAGAACTTAATGGTGGCAGAGCCAGAGCCAGAACCCACCATTACGTCCCCTGTTCAGACACCTGTCTTCCATTACTTACTCTTCTTAGATACTTTTGGTGTGGAATTTCTACTCCAATTCCCCTTTTCACTTCTCAGATGTATCATCTCATTTTAGAACTATGTTGTGAAATAAGCAACAACCATGAAACGTATCAAGGAACAAATACTGCACCTTCTCTGCACTTGGGCTATTGACTTTGAATCTTTTGTCCACCAGATAGTAGAATCTTCATGAATTTCTGCAAACTGGCAGGTTAATCTTACGTTTCCAGAGTGGTCGGGGAACATCTCAGCTTGGATCTTTTTCAGTAATACCGGAGCTAGAAATGAGAGATTGGCAAGTCAGTGTTCTTGTAACAGTTGCAAAGAGCTTAACAGTGAGCAAAAGACTTTCCCATTTCATCTCACTTAATTCTCACAATGATCCCAAGAGACAAGGATAATAATTATGGCCCTCAATTTATGGATGAGAAAACCGAGTGTGACTTGCTTAAACACTAGGAAAATGAACAAATCAATCTAATTACTTTTCATTACTTGAAACTCTGTGAGTAAGGTCTGTAATGCACACTGTGAACTATAACGTAAGTGTAACCAGTGGACACAGATAATAGTGTGGTGAAGGCGGGGTGGGGCAGGAGTGGGGAGTAGGAGGTCAGTGGGTGGAGGAAGGGGTACATCTGTAATACTTTCAACAATAAAGATACATTTTTTTAAATAAAAAAAAATAAAGGTTAAAAGAAGAGAAATTTGTTTCGAAGGTAGGAGGAGTCTGGTTTTGGATACCTAGTTCATAGGATCTGGTTCAAAGAAAGATGCTTTTGAATGATCCCCGGGTGGTCCAGAGCAAAATCAGAGCTGGGGACTAGGGAGTAAAATAAAGTTCGGATCATCCAAATACACGTGGTCGAGCCCTCAGATGTAAAAGGCCACTCAACAATAGTTATTTGCTGAGAAGCACTTATCATCTTTCCTCTCATTTCCATTGGCTTTGCTGAAGGTTGCAGTCAGGTCTGATATCAATTTCATTAACAAAAGAGAAGTGTCTACTGGAATGAAATAGGAGCAATAAGGAAACGATTCCCAGAGTTGGGAGGAGACCTTGGAATATCGCTTTTAAAAATTAGGGATGAGAGCGCCACAAACTGGGCAAACATGTAATTACTCAGGGCAGCCACTGGGAGGCAGCATAGACATGAGAACAAGACAGGATGGAAGACCCAGCCAGGTGGTCAGAATCACTTGGCAGGCAAAGAGGTTACTGGAAATGTGTCTGTTGGTTAGGAACCAAGTTCCATAACTCCGCAGCTTTGGTAATATAAAATATTATATAATCCCCAGCCAAGACAAAAGCCATCACTACTGATGCTGCTTGCTCTGTCCCCTCAAATTCCTCTGCTATTGTATAGTCATGTTAAGCGTGCCTGCCATCTCTCCTTGATGCCAACAGACACTTGGATAACAGAATTTATATTTATAGACTTATTTTCTTCCCAGGCAGGGATAATGGGCTGGTTGGGTAATACATTCTTGAACCGGTGAGTAGTGGAGGGTACCAACAGTATCATGGCAGATGGAGAAAACAAGCCAAGTGTGGATTGACGGCAATCCCCGCTTCCATTCATTTGGCTGTGCTGGGTGTTCAGGGCCACAGTCTCCAACTCTTGGTCCTGAGTCCTGACCAAGCTCAGCTCCTCTGGGACACATGCCTTCAAGGCCCCTCCCAGCACTGTGCGGTGGCAGTTTGCATGGGTGACTTGTGGAGACCTGGACGTTCCTAAGGTTGCCAACCCCTCCCCCGCCTGTGCTGGATGCAGAGAGAACTGGGGCACAGAGGAAAGGGCATAGCATGAGCGTGGGACTACATGAGGGGGTCTGAGAGATGCAAAGCTGACTTGGACAAGAGGCCTCGGGGCTTTGGAAAGGAGCCCTGTCTGTCTGTCTGCTGGGACAGAGGGACCAGTGCAAATGAAGGCGCTAAGAGGAGGCCTGGGAGTGTAGTTGCACTACATTTGAAATGTTTGATTTCTTTCAGAATCATCCAAGTCATCCCCCACCCCCAAGTCCTACCTCACCAGGTCACGGTGTGAGGGTACCATCCCTCCCCAAAGGTGTACCCCATCTTTGCCGCGCTTCGAGCTCAGGGAGGCTGTGTGGCAGCTGAGAGAGATCAAACCCTCCAACAGCATGTGGCTATTAGAGGGTCCTTTTCCCTGTGGGTGACGGGAATAACCACAGACAAGCATTCCAAATAGATTGTTTCCATCTGGACAAACCCACTTTCGAGATCTTTGAAAACGTTGCTTCATTCCCTTTAAATGTGCTGAAAAACATATCCTAGCAACCTGGTTGGATCCCTCCACACTCTGGAAGGTGCTTTGCATTCAGTCCTCTCTGAACAGGGCTGGGGCCCATGGATGTGGCTGGGGAAGGACAAGCCCAGGCAGTCTGCGGCCCCTGCCCTGGAGCTAAGGGGCCGGAGCACTCTGCTGCAGCTCAGAGGACTCGCCGGCTGCGGTACCTTCCTGCTAACCTCCACCTGGTTGCACAGCGGGCTCTGAGCCTCTCGTGGTCTGAAACCGGGAATGGACACCCCCAGAGCCTTTACACTCAAAGTGGAGGGGGAGTTGGAAAGAAATTTTATGCTCAAATTTGGAAGGAAACCCAATGTTCCATGAAGCCATTTTTAATGAAAATCAGGGACTAAAGAAGAGACTCCCAAATTGTGTCTCAATGCTTGTTTCTGGAAATCCTGCTCAGTGTGTGGTCTATTTAATTACACTAATTAGCTATGCTGATTAATGCTTCTGCTTGCCTTTTAAAAATATTTTTTAAAGGGTAATTAAACAAAAGGGCATCCTAATCTCACTCCCTCAATTAAACATCCCCACAGGCAGTCCTGGCCAGTTTGGCTCAGCGGTTGGAGGGTTGGCCCGAGGACCAGTGAGTCTCGGGTTCGATTCCAGTCCAGCGCACAGACCTCGGTTGCAGTTCGTCCTGGCCCTGGTCCGGTGATGCGGGAGGCAACCAGTCGATGTGTCCCTCTCATATGGATTATCAATGTTTCTCTCTCCCTTTCTCTCCCCCTCTCTCTCTCCCATGCTATCTGAAGATAAATAGAAAAATATGCTTGGGTGAGAACTGAAAAAAAAAAAAAACCCACAGGCAGCCTTCTGAGAGGCACTCCCCACAGATCGGCTGGGAACTCGTTACACCATGTCTCAAGCCCACGTGGACGCGTGGACTCGGACACGCTGGAGCTGGAGCTCGCTGTGTGCCGTTAACCGCCCTCTGGGGGATTCCGAGGCCGCCGCCTCTGAGAACCAGGGGTGTATGCTGAGCCAGTGGGCCACAGCCATGGCATCAGTGCCCACCTGGTCAGCACTCACCTGGCTGCCAAGGCCTCAGGGGCCAGGAACGCCACATCTGGTCGACAAACCCGAGTTTTAACAGCCATAGAAAGCAACAGAGCCTCACCTTTGCCTTCCCTTTTGCAAGGTGGTTTCGTGGGGTCTTTTTTCTCATCTGTGCCTGATACCGACGTTTCGAGTTTAGGGATCTTTGTAGGGAAGCTCGAGTTCTTTCTGGCTTTTTCCCTCTGTTCCAACCTCAGCCTCAGGGCGGCCACCTTGGACAAGATTTTCTTCTTCACGCCCTCAGTTAAGTGTCCACTTCTCGCGATTTCTTGCTTCTTCTTGACCTCCTCCCAAGCAGGTACTGGGGACCTGCCGGTCTGGGCTGCCATGGAACTGGGCCTCTCCTCCCCCGACTCCCTCCTGTGGCCCAGGGCGGGGACCCGGTGACACGGGTCCCTCAGTGTCTCAGGAGCTGTCTCTGATGCACATTCTCCTGAAACAAAGGCCGAAGTCACTGCAGGGGAGCTGGATGCACTTGCGGGTTTGGTTTCTCCGCTTTGGGGCACCCCCATCTCAGGCTCCTCGATCTTGTGGCTTATTGAAAAGCCTGTGGTGTTTCCTTCAGGAGAAGAAGCACAAGGCAGCTGAGTAAGGCCCCTGGGAGAGAGCGGCTGGTTCCCACCCTCTGCCTCTCCCCTCTCCTTTGAGTCAGAAAACGCGTGTTGATGGTTTCTGGGCTCCACTGTGTGGTTCTCGGGGACGTCATGAATTTGACCTGTGGCACTGTCTGTGTCAACTCCAACAGATGTCCGAGTCAGGACTGCAAGCCCGCTAGAAAGAGGCGAAGTGGGGAACACAGCACCTGCTCCGTCCTCCTCCCTCAGCTCGGCGCCCCCCGAGCCCCACTCACGGCCTTCCTGTGCCTGGCTTCCGCTGCACCCGCGGGGAACTGTCGCCCCACCTTCATCGGGGCGTAGGACCCGCAAAGCGGCCAGCTGGACTTCCCCTTGGGCTTCGTCGTGTCCACATTGCTCGGCCCGCCCCCTCTCACGGGCTTCTTGGTGTCGGCTGGTGCTGTGTTCACTTGGAATGGTCTCCCTGCTTGGCTGGGGGCCGGGGCCTGGAGGGGTGGCCGGTCGGACCTCCACGCTCTGGCCCAAATTTCCATCATTCAATTTCGCCTCCTCTCTGAAGGCCCCCAGGGCGGATTCGGGAGGCTCCCGGGCTCCCACCCTGGCCGACTCCCCCACGACGGCTTCCTCGGGATCCACGGAGGACTCGAGGACGTCAGGGTGGCTCAGGAGCTGCTTGAAGAAGGCGAGGTGAGCCACACTGCGCTGCTTTTCCTCTTGGGTTTGACTCGCGTTGTTGACACCCCCCTGCCCTCCAGTGTTGGGAGCCTCCGACGGCTGATCTGTGACGCCGTCATCTATGGGGTCCACAGACGACCCCAGGAACCGGGGTTGGCGCAAGTACCGGGAAGAAAGACAGCTCCAGTGTGCACGCCTGGCTGGCTTTTTACCTTCGTGGCTGTCTCTGTCATCAGCAAGGCCTGAGCCCGACTGAGCCTCAGCCTGGGCACCGCCAGCCGGTGCTGCAGGTTCAGAGTGGGCCCGGTCAGGCCCAGCAGCTACAGCCCAGAGCCCGTCAGGAGGCATGGCACCAGCTTCTGACCCCTCGGACTCAGAACCGGTTGGCTGTCTTGGGGGCCAGACCTCGGAAACAGAAGCTGCTCGAGCTATCGTCTCGGGCTCGTCGCCTGCTCCCCAGTGTCCTGGCCCGCTCTCCTTAGACGGCCCCAGGAGGACCTGAGAGGGAGGTGGGACACTGCCCACGGCGTGACTGTCATCATCCTCGGGAGTTTTAGCCTCCAGGCCTGAGCTCTGCCTTCTTTCCCCTCCGGAGTTTGCCGACGAGTGGTCCCAGGGCACCGGGGTCGTTTCCCCTTGTGCAGCGGACGTCGTAGGCCAGCTTTCCTGGGGACTGTCTTCGGGAAGAGAACCCTGGCAGGGCCGGCTCTCCTGCTGCATCCTCTGTGTGGCTTCACTTCCTTTCCCCTGGGCATCCTCTTCGAGGCTCCTCTTGTCTGCTCTGCCCACGGCCTGGCTCTTCTCTGCAGACTGGGTATCAATCTGAAGAGGGGAACTGCTACAGAAACCTCCCTCTGGGACGGGGGGGACACAGACATGGACCTCTGGTCCCCTGGGAGCCGGGCAAAGCTCTTCGGGAGATTCGCTGGTGGAGCCATTTAACAAAGGACCCGACTGTACGCTGGGAGGAAGCAGAAAAATATTCCCATCTGGTACCTGAGATGAGCTCTCGTCAGGGCCATCTGCATGGCTGTTCTCGGCAACTGAAACGGGGAGGGATTTGGCTGGGTGGACTTCGGTGGCAATGGTACCAGTTGGTGTGTCCTCACTCTCCCTGGTCACCTGAAGACACTCAGGATGAGCAGTTGATGTTGTTGGCGTCTCCTGAGGAGACCTCACGACTGAGCTGTGACTGGCTGGCGAGCCTGTGGTGTCCAGGGCACTGGTACTGGGGCTCTCGGCACCTTCTTTACACCACACAAAAGAATTCTCAGCAGACAGAGGGTGTCTTTCCTCCAGCCCTCCTGAGACACAGGGGATCGGCCTCTCCTGTGCTGTGGAGGCCAGCGTGGAGGCGGAATCCTGCATCTTGGCTAGATGTTCCCCTGGGGACCCTTCGCTGGCTTTTTGAGACATGTTCCAGGTGAGAGTGTTGCTAGGAGCAGGAGACACAACTGAGTTTCTCCCCTTGTTGCTTTTGCCTGTGGACGGTGGAGGCTCAGAACCTCGTGTCTGGAGAACAACATCCAGTGTCCTGTCATCAGGAAAACAAAGATCAGACACTTTGCCTTGACCTTCTGCCAGCTCTAAGTCCATGGAGCAAACTCCTTGAGGCAAATATTTATGAACTGGGGATCCAGCAGGAGAATTCATGGTGTCACCTGTTCCTTGGTCACCTGCTTCCAGAAGCTCCGTCAAACACTCGGCTTCTCTGCCCCCTGGCCCATGGCACGCAGCTTCCCGGGTGGAGACCATATCTTCAGGTACAGGGGGGACAACAGAGAGAGCCTGGGGCTCCCCAGGGTCATTGCAGCCCTCCTGGGGGAGACACACTGACAGCTCCCAGGGGGACACAGTTGCATGATTGACTTCTGGGAGGTTCGGCTCATGTCCTGGACCTTCCCAGGAATGTCTAGGTGTGTTGTCTTCTCTGTCTTTGTTTTCTTTGTGCTGTGGGCCTTGAGTACAACCTTCTGTCTCCAGGTATTGGGCCAATGATGCATGTTCCTCATCGATTCCCCCTAAGTCGGGGAGGGACTGTGATGTGGTCCTGGTGAACGCAGACCCCTCCCCGGCAGGTTCTGAGAAAGGTGGCATTTGGCTGGGACAGAGTCGTTCCCTGAGTGTCTCCTGAGTTTGCACCTAGAAGATGAAAAGTGTGTTAATGGAATCGCTCCTGGGAGAGCCCACAGTAGGCATGACCACAGTCGGGAGAGTGTTCGTCCTCGAGAACTGGGACATGGACAAGAGGAGCCCAGGAATGATTGAAATCTGAACGTTAACCCCCAAACCCACTCTCACTATTAGAGACTTCCTAGAGAAATGCACATTTAAGGAACTGTGTGTTCCAGGGGACCCCTGGTCCAATTGCCCATTATAAGCAGAAAGCCTCGTGACAATCATCAGTTAATGATTGTTTTCTCTCTCAGGAAAAAAAAAAAGGATGAAAATAAATGGAATGGTAACTATTGTGATCAAGCAAGTCCTAAGAGCTCGTGTGTACCTTTCCAGAAAGGTAAATTTTGCATGGTCACAGCAAATGAAAAATGCAGTTTGTAGAGTAGCAATGAGCAATATCCATCTCCAAATATAACAGCTTGCTGGTTAATAATGTTACTAAGGAACAGAGAGGCCCCTACTTTGAGCCCACCTCTAACAAAGTAACAGGGTTATGACTGGCCATCAGTACTGCCAATAATTTCTGCTCAAGAAGGTTATAAAATCTTGGAATGTCTCCAGACTTTAAAACAGATGCCCTGTGCCAGGCAAACCACATCCACAAGAAATAGGGGACCCAGGGCTGCTTAGGTTTCTATGAAGAGAAAGACAGACATAGAGCGTCAGAGAGGGAGCCAGGGAGGAAAGAAAGAATGAATGAATGAACCTATCTTACAGTGTGAGGTGTGAACCCGTCATGGTACCATTTGAATGTTCTGTGATACTGGATATTGTTCAAGGAAGCAGCAAACTCTCTGACTCAATTCTTGTCTCTTGAAACTTTGGGCTCATTGAATATTTCAATGCATATCAAGATGGTACGAGCTAAGAAGAATGGAATCGCTGCTAAATTTCAGCCTGAGTCCCCAGCTTAGCCCCCAGGACTCCTGCTTTGGAGCAGCCCAGTTCAAATGTGCAGGAACCACCCTGGCCGGTTTGGCTCAGCGGTAGAGCGTTGGCCTGCGGTCCTGAGAGACCCGGGTTCAGTTCCCGCTAAGGGCGCGTACCTCGGTTGCAGTTTGTCCCTGGCCTTGGTTGGTCGTGCAGGTGGCAGCCACTCTATGTGTCCCTTTCACGTCGATGTTTCTCTCTCTCTCTCTCTCTCTCTCTCTCTCTCTCTCTCTCTCTTCCTCTCTCTCCCTCCCACTCTACCTGAACAAAAAATGGAAAAATGTCCTCGGGTGAGGATAAAAAAAAATGTGCAGACCGATGGCTGGGCTTGAAAAGGGGAGGAGTTGTTGCTCCAGCATTTGACCAATGGGCATGCAGTTGGGGTCCTGTGCCAGGCTTATGTCCATCGACCACAGGCGAGAATCGTCACCCCCTCTACACTGCCGTGGGAAAGAGGACACCAGTGTGACCACACCTCCTTCCTTACTGCCCCAGGGTTGCCTTTTGCCGGCAGGGATTTGCCTCTCATTTCCTCCTTGAAGCTACCCTGATGTTCGTTTAACTCAGACTGTGTTGGCATGAAAGTGCTAACTAGACAAGAAGAAATTTAGTGTAATTTCCTGGGCTATTAACTCCATGAATACTCATGGATTCAGCAAGTATTCATTTAACACCTCCAGTGTACTAGGGAGAATCCCAGGTGATGAGGGTACAATATGGGCAAAAGACCCATCTGCAGGGTGTTCCCATTCTGTGTTGCATTCAAGGCCTGCCACAGGGTTAGCACCCAGCAGGTGTCACACATTAGCACCCAGCAGGTGATTTCTAAGTACTTGTTGAAAGAAGGAGGTGAACTGGGCCATGCACCAGGGGAGTCAGCTCTCCCCAACTTCACCCATTAAAACTCTGCATGTGAAAGGGTTGGACTCACCCACCCCCAACTTTGAAACAACTCTATTTAAAAGAGACTTAACCATATGCAGGGGCAGGTACTGGTCTACATCCTGATGTTTCTAAAAAGAAAACTGGATTCACTCTTTTTCTACATCCTTTTTACTTTTTCGTCATATTAACAGGGAAAAGAAGAAAGATAACCTCTGAGAAATAAGAAGCAAGGTTTTAAAAAAGTATTAAGGAGTTAAAACATGCACACAGTCTCACCTCTATACCTGAACACCTGTAACGCAGGTGGAGAATGTTCTTTTTTGTTTTCTATTTTGGTTAAGATACTTTATCATGGTCTATAGCACAAATGCACTGAACTATTACGCACAGAAAGCGTGGGTCGCTTCCTGGTCATGATTTGAGATGAGCAAAGACACGATCTAATCGGAAACGCCATGGCCCTCTCTTGCGCCTTCCTCTCCTGCCTGAATTTCCACTACCTATGTCAGTCTTTTATTTTAAGATCTTGCCATCATCACAATATCATCAGCTACTTATGGAGTAGCTGCCATGCGTGAATTCCCTGCCAGGCACTGGACACATTCTTCCAAAGGGCTCCAGTTAAAAAGCCACTGTGTTCCTTGCTGGGTTGTTACCCACTCATTATTGCCTGTGACCGTATCAACAGAGTTACAGGCTGATGTGGAGAAGAGATGAACACCTGCAAAGCATGAAACAAGGGACAGGTGAGCTTTGATCAGGGAGAGTTTGTCCATTGAAATAGACCGTCTTAGCTGTGGCGTAGTGCCTGGGTTTACAGAATGGTCATGTTCCTGTTAAATATACTCACTCCTCCTCTCTCGCTTTTAAAATAAAACCCTATTTTTAAATAGCCTGGGAAAGTCGCACATGTAAAAAACATGGCCAATCCTTGACCATATGAATTCATCCACTTGACAAACATTTATTGAGCATCTACTGGGTACTAAGCTCTGTTCCAAGCACCGGGGAAGCATCAGGGAACATAACAAAGACTTCTAGCCTTTGGAAGATGTGTTCAAGCAACAAACCATATAACTGGTCCACTGCTAATGGGAAATTTCATAAATTTGATTAACCATTGGAGTTTTCTCAAAATGGGGCCGTTAGCAGCCCAGTACATACTTATCAAGGTTCACAGCATCAGTTCCAAGGACAGGGGCTCATGCAGAGGCTGACTCATAGAGAAAGAGAAACCACCGACTGTACCTTTCAAGCAATTCAGACCTTCCTTTCAGGAGGAGATCTCTTAGTTAAGTCATTCTTAAAGGACTGCAACACATGCTTCTCCTGCTGCTCAGCTATTCTCGTCATGGAGTGGGTGGTAAGACTTAGGAGGTTTTGTTATGTAGGAAACTTGGTCTCCTTCAGGGGAAAAGAAGGAGGGTTTGGGGCTCGAGGAGGAAGCCCAGTGTGGTGTGTGGAGTGTGGACCCGGAGGACTGGCCACCTGGGTTCAGCTCCATCCAACACTGCATGCGCGATCCCAGGCAATCTCCCTGGCCTCTCCGACCCTCTGTCTCCTCTTCTCGGGCCAACCACATGCACATGGTCCTGTCAGGTACCTGGCACTCACTGTCAGCAGTTTCCCTTGTTCGCTGTGAAAGGCAAGTAGTGGTCGAGGCCAAGAGGAAACTGAGCAGCCCCGACGAGCAAAGCAGTGTGCTTCGGGCTTTGCGTGGGCTTTCTCACCTGGTTGGCAGCATAAATCTGAAATACTGACACTTTCGTCTCTTCTTTACTGATGAGGTGGATAGCCAGGGTTCCAGCCAGAAGACTGAAACCACATGTGGGCTAAACAGGGCAGTGGGACATAAAGGGTGGAGAGCTGCAACGGAAGGGTAGCTGTAGGCACGGGGACCCGACGGTGCTCCACGGTGGAGGGCGGTACTGAGGGAGGACACCGTGAACGGGGCTGAGCCCTCGCTGGGAAGGTATGCGCAGGCCCCAGAGAGCAGAGAAGCTCAGTGGTGCAGCCAGGCCAGAGCTGGGCTGGACGTGCTGGGTGAGCTCCAGACCACCCTTCCTTGGGCGGCGGGGAGCAGGCGGTCTCCGGGGCACTGGCAGGGCAGAGGCCGAGGCCTGCGGAGCGGGTGGGCACATGCGGTGGGGAATAGAGAAGGAACAACGGGCCTGGGTATTTGGGCCACAGGTGATGGTGTACAGGTCCTGCAGGGGCCCCCAGAGGGCGTCCAGACGTGGGGACGGCAGGAGGCCTTCAGGGCGGGCGGGCCATGCCCAGCTCTGGGTTCTGAGCGAAGGGTGCACGGGAAGGTTATCCCAAGGCCAAGGCTACAAGGCCGCAGGTGGCCCGTGCTCTGGGCTCTGTGGCTGGGACAGACTCTATGGGATGACCGCAGACCCACACCCAGGACCCCCACCAATGCTGAAAATGGCAAGAACCGTGTTCCTCCTGCGGCGTCCGACCAGCACCCTCTCTGAGAACCTCACGTCGAGCTCTTTTTGGAGAACCGGGTAACGGACTCTGTCACCGAGCACTGCTGACGGGGGCGCTCAGGACTGAGAGGCAGTACACTGGAAACTGGGGTCACCGACACCCGGGGGTTAGAAATCGCCCCCGAGTTCCACAGTCGATGGCAGAACCAGGTTTTACAGCCAAGTCCATTGGCCATAAAGCCCTTTCCAGCCCAGCTTTTCTAACCCGAGACATTAAGACGAACCCCACCAAGGGGCTGGGAACTCCCGTAATTTGACCTCCGAGCTTCTGAGGGTCGGAGACACTGGGTGTGAAACTCTCAGGGGCCTTATTACATGCGGGTGATCATGTGTTTATCAGCTTCCTCGCAAGCGCTAAGGGCGGGGACGCTGTGCTACTCATTTCTGGATTTCCAGAACCCTCGGCGTAGTAGGAACTCATTAATGTTGCTGAATGAATAAGCATCTGAATGAACACAGGGAGGGAAGAGGGGAAACCAGATATAGTAACACTTCCAAGCCTGTGTCTGAAGCAGCGTTAAGCCTGAGAACTCGCGTCCGCTCGCCCTCTCGGGTCACATGCCTCCCATTCTCCACACGCATTGTTTTCATTTGTCGGCCTTCCCCAGAAGTCTGCCTCCCGAGTGTGTCTGCCTGGGTCCCATGGGAAGGCGT